TTAGAGGAACAGCGGTTTTCGGGATAAATGTGACGCTGTTAACTAAGCAAAATGCTAGATATCTAGTCCAAATCTGTTTGGACTTTTAGTTACATACTGTACAAAGCTTGTGAATGATGGATGATGCAATAAATCCAAACATCCCAGCCAGCAAAAGTTTGCAAAGGAAAAACAATCAAATGTGAACGTGATTTTAAACCACTTTTAAGGATCAGATCACATGCAGTACATTTTCTACTATATATAAACAGGCAAGAGGCAGTATTGTGGCACAAAATATTTGTATTCGCATTGACCAAGAAACGATATATTTGAAAATACCTCCCTCTTCTGGTATTCAGAAGTATAGCAGGTGGTAGTGTTGGGCCCATAAAGGACACTTGAAGAAATTGTTACAGCTTTAGGTGAAGGAGAAGGGTCTCTTAAGATTTTAGATAAAGACTGTGACACTTGGCAGAGTGAACACTTCTAGCTTGAAAGCAGAGAGGATTTTTGTTGAGGTGTGGGGGGGTCCCTTGATCAGAAACCACTGTAAAGTTTACCTTGGTATACCGTACCTACAGTAGGTAAGGTGTAGGTTAATGAGTGTTAATGAGCAGTACAGAAACAAACAACATAAGATCACAACAAGAAACAAGAAGAGGAAGAGGAGAGAGGGGAGAAACAAGAGTCTGGAGGAGTCAGAACTTGAAGATTGTGCTAGACGAGAGCCCCTACTTCATGATCATCCTAACAAAACCTGACTGGAGCTAAGTATTTAAACCTTGCTAGCTTGCTATTCTGTGTTTTTAGGGATCTTGGGTTTTTAGGGTAAAAGATAGCTCAGTTAGAAACATCTTTCCTGCTTGTGGGTGCATTTCTAGAATATGGAGATAGGCTCCCATTTATTTTTTGTCATCCAGGGTGCAGAGAAAGAGATTTAACTGCAGGCTGTATTGCATTTAGTTAGAAGGCAGCTCATCTCTTATGTGGCCTTTGTGGGCATTATGAATTGAATGGTTAGTAGCAGTCTGGGGTTCTCTGGGTGATCAGAATGTTAGGCCTCTGAAACACCTTGTTTGTAAATACAGTTTGTAAATACTGTACATAGAAGCGCAATGAATTTAAAGGACACGAAAACATCTTTAGCGTGACACGGAACAAGAGTTTTAACCTGAAGTAAAGTCAAGTGGGACTGTCCTTGTATAATTTTTTACTTTACTATTTGCAAATTGTGTACATCACTAAATTCCTGATAGGCATCTATACCTCAGGAAAAAAACCTTTTTGTAAAGTCTTCATAATAGGGTCAGTTTCCTTTATAGGGAAATCTACATAACTTCTTCATAAGGTAATCATGATGACAAGAGAAATACTGCTGGTCAATGATAAGGATTTATTTCAGAAGATGAGAATAATGATTTTTGGCACTGTAGGTATCAAATGCTGACACTAATGAAAACAATGTTTTTTATATTCATTTATTTTTGGTTTACAGTGTACAGATTCTAACAGATTAAGAGGGACAGTGCGTTTCAGGTTAAATGGAACACTGTGTTCATTACAAACTATTCTAGATATTTTGTAAAACCTGTTTGGACTTTGACAATAACCACACATAAAACTTGTGAACCAATGTGAATATACCTGAAAGACTGAATTAGTGTACAACATCTGAACAACACCTGAACTAGCAACATTTTGCAGAGGAAAAACAATCAACTGAGAACAGAATTTTAATGATTCAGTTTAATCACATGAAGGTCATTTCATGTTAAATATGAACAACTTTGAGAGGCTATTGTTTTTAGTTCATGGCTTATATAGAAACAATAAAAATATACATATGTTTAAAAACTCATTTAAAACTGGTAATCAGGCGTGTAGTGGACAGTATTGTCCACACTCACATACTCATATACTGTTGATCAAGGACGCTTGCACAGATTCTCACTCCATTGACAAGACTTGTGGGCTGTAGCACTAATGTGTACAAAGTTCACATGGGGACATGGTATTAAATAATTTAATTCAGTTACTCTTTTAAGGGTTGTAATACTGCCGTAGCCCTTCTTTGGAGTTGGGCTGATTCTTTGACTAGACACTGACGAGTCTGAGACAAAGATTTCTCTTTTTTAAATCTCGTATCTGCAATGTTACTTTCTTTAAACAAACAGAGCCACATCATGTTCTTCTCCGTCGCTTTAATTTTTCTGAAATTTCCCTCCTACAATACTCTCTTTTCACTGAGAAGCAAGCCCACATGAGACTGTAAACATTCCAATACCATGAAACGATCAAGAGTGAACTATTTAGACACGGGTGCGCTTAATACACTCAACCGTGTCTACCGTGGCGACCTCTAGTGTTTGCCCCGTTGTAACTACATCCAGACAAGGAACAGCCGAGAACATTCAATTTTATGCACGTAAGCTTTCCTCCTGTTTTCACATAAGGTTATATCTAGCATAATTATCACGTAATCGTCTATATACAGTATATATCTATCGTGTCTTTTCAAATAAAGCAGTTGCTTGTTTAGTAAAGTAATAGCACATTCATGTTCAGGGAGTCAATTAAATATGTTAATGTAAATATATATAAACTGTTAAGCATATCCGAGTTACTGCCACTTTTTACTTTCGCATTTTTTTTTGTTTTATCGCTAAAGTAAACACACACTGGCAGGTTAAAAGACTATCGCCGGAATTGGTGCTTCTCTCATGGGTATCCTCCACACAATTTCCCTGGTGGGTTTTTATTATCGTTTACGATGGAAGCAGAAGACTGCGGCTACCTTTCAGCTATCCCATTGTTGACATTTTTGAAGTATGTATTCTTTATTTCCACTTGTCTGAATCGATTATTTCTGTTAATAACAAATCTGTGCATCACTGTCAGAGGTAGGTAGAGCTGGTCACTAACACTAACACAGGCTGCGTTGAAAAGGTTCCTGGGTTTCAGGTCGCGCCTGTAATCCCACAGTTTGATGGGGCTCGTAGCAGACGCAGCTTCTCCAGAAACTGTCAACTAATGTCCCCATTCATTTTCCGTGTTCACGCAATACTGTGAGAGGGACACAGAGTCAGCCACCAGAGGGCACTGCTAACACAACAAAAACAAGAGAACGGAACAACAGGTCCTTCTTGCCGAAGAAAGGTGAAAAACTGAAGCCCTCAGTATTGTTTGTTCTACAAGGGTGTGAGCTGATGCCAACACGTATACAGGTAAGATACGTAAAAACATAGGGTCAAAGAACCCATATTTATTTTCTGCAGTACATGCGAACCAACCATTACAAACTATCTCGTATACTGTATATAAAAATATGATAATGAAGTTTAGGTTTAGGTTCTCACGGAGATAAGACAACTTTTGCATATGGCAGGAAAGCCTTTACTGCTATCGCGCAAATACTGTTGAGGCACTACTGATTAGACGATGCGTTATTGCGTAGTTCAGACGGAAAAAAACGGAATAATCCTTGAATCTCTCTGACGCATCAATAGTTTGCATTTGCGGCAGGGCACGTTCAGTAATCATGATCTTCCTGATTAACCTGTTAGACTGCCGTCAGGGAGAGCCGTCTCAATATCCTGGCATGGAAAACCCACAACAGCAACGGAGATTTTTTTTTTTTGACAGCTTGCAAGTTCAGTTTTGCTTTAATTTAATAACACAGACAAAAATCCTGTTGAGATCCCTGTTGGTATTATCGGGCTTGATGGATGGTTTTATGGTAATTATCAATTAAAATATGATATGCAGCAGTTTTAAGAGAATAAATAACTGTTGTTTTTGTATCTTGGGAATCACGGGGGAGGCTTATACACTGTAAATATTCATAAAGTTTTTATGAAGAAAAATGGGGTGCTATGGGAAGCTTAAACTACAAGAACACTAGTTTTCTAGTTTCCGGAAAGCTGTGGGAAGTATATTTTTTCTTGTAGATGGTGACATGCAAGCTACAGGCTCAGAGTAACTCCTTATTTCAAACCCTTGATTAGAAAGTGTTGGCATGACACTCATCTTACCTTTGTTTCTGGATCATTTTTAACTCTGCACTTAGTTTGTTTTAAATTGTGTGTACATTTCAGTGAATTGTGTGTACATTCAGTGAAAATCTCATTTAATAGTTTCACTGACCATTCTAATCCTTAAGCCTACCAACACTAGAGTGTGGCACAAACTGCGATATCATTTACTGCTGTGCTCTGTGTTTCTTAACCTACATGAGCTGAGAGGACAAATTTTTGTTCTTATTTTTCTACATAAAAATTAAAAATCGTCATGAGTTCACATACATCCAGAGCCCATTGCAGAAAACCTTCTTCAAGTCAGCCTCAAAGGTTATTCAATTATGTTCTCAAAATGCCATTCTGAGATAAAACTAGACATCTGAGCATAAAGTAATAGGATTCAGGACCCCTGGTAGATTATTTTGCACAACACTTCTGTGTCTGATTGAACTCCACTTTAATAGAGTGATGTAATCAAACATAGCATGTAATACAAATAATTCTGCATTTTATTGTGGGCAAGAACGCCAGTCACAGACTATGTGTGGTTCAACAGATTACTGAGACCTAATTACTGAGATTACTGAGAAAAAATGACAAATGCATATCTCTCAAAGTCTGAAACTCAATTGTTTTCCCCCTGTTTCTTACATGATAGTTATGATAACATAACTGAAAATATTTTGACTGTTTACTTTCCCTTTTATTATGAAGCAATATTTGCTAACAGCATATGTAGTTGACGTATTGTGAACAGTACCACAGAATAAAAATCCTTGTTTTTATTCTGAGGAAATGGAAATGATCTGTATGGGGTTTTCTATTTGTGAAACCAGTGAAAACAAATTGGTCATGTCATAAACCTTGAACACATGTCACAGTAGGTTCTGTCTTTGCTGCAATTCAGTGAAATAATGAATGGAGTTTAAAGACACCCCCTGTCAGCTACAGCTTGATACATGCAGCAAGATGGGTTGTTGCGAAGAGTCAAAATTAATCTGAATCTAACTGTAGGTGGAAGTCATGATACTGATGGAGTTTACAAAAGAATGAAGAAGCTTAAAGTTCCAAAGAAGTTGACACTTAAAAAGACCTCTCTATCTTTACATCTGTTCCATTAAGAGAAATTGGCTAGCAAAGTCTCATGTATTTCTTCTGGAACACTTAAAACAGTCAGACAAGGTGAGGAGGGATAATACCTTGAGTGTTTCAGATCAGCACCTATAAAGACAGGACAGAGACATTATCATTTTTATTTTCCACAGTGTAATGCAGTGACAAAATCCATAGCTAATGGGAACAGTTCTATACTTCACAGCTCAGGCAAAAGCAATGGATTAGACACATTGACATCTGGATTATACACATTTTTGTTTTTCCTTCAGTCAGGTTCGTAATGAATTCCTATTAGCTTGCAGAATTAATTTTAAAGGCCCGCATTAGTGGTCCCACAATGAAATAAAATGGACTTCCTGATTTAAGGAGGAATATCTGACTTGCAATATCGAGACCTTTAGCTCAAATATGAAACAGAAATCTTGCATCATCGCAAAGTATTTCACATTCAAGACAATTATTGCCCACATTTTGCAAATGGACTCAGATCAAAAGATTTTTCCAAAGCGGACACATTATCAGCAATGAAGCCTTGTGACATCAGAATTGCACAGATTATCACTAGTGTCTGTCACATCCAAGTTTTTTCTCATGGTTTTTTTTTTGTCTGCATTTTTAACTACTCTTTTCAAAAGCCCAGAGACCGTGTGCGGCTCATGGAGAATTCACATGGTGTCTTCCTCTTCTGTTAACAATTACTTCTCTCCACTCTGTTAGTTACAAAGCAAACAGAAACATTTTGTACGAGGCTTGACTACTGAGGGAGTCTTGGAAGAAATGAGCAGAAATGAAAAGAAAGATGACAAAGACCAGTGTGGATTCTAAATATGGTCCTGTGGTACTAAACCAACAGAAAAGATCTAAAGCAACCAATCTTAATACCCATGTTTGGACCTGTAGAAACTGGTTCAGGAATTTTCCCCCAGCTCTTGCCTACAGGTGGATAAACTGAGAAGTTAGCAAGTAAGCAAACATGCTTTTTGGGTAGTTGTGTTACCTGTTGAATAATAACTGTCAAAGCGATTTAAGGATTTTAATGAAACTATCAGGTTCGTCATAAAAAAAAATCTTGCTCTGTGGTATGAAGAAGAAAAGATGAAAAAATGTAGTTATTGTGGCAGAGTTTACTAGCCTTTTAAACCTGCCCTTTGTGATTGTTACATCAAATTCTCCATAGAGCACTTTTTATATTATCAGTGCAAAGCAATTTGCAATTAGAAAATTAGTTTTTTTATTGTTTGCATAGACCCTTCGAAGAGTATTAACTGTGCTTCAGTGCCTGCTGCCTTTGTATTAAAAATAAGCACCCTACTTCAACAACAAGGTTCAGTTGGGGAGCTGCAAAGGAACAAGCAGAGGTTAATTCCATACCGCAACAAAAAAATAAAAACATTTCAGCCGTGGAGTGTTCCATGGGTTTTTATACAGTTCTGTATAATGAAACAATTTAGACACATAAGCTCAGGTTTAAGTACTAGATGGGAAAATGACCTGTTTTCAAGATAGAGTTTTGGCTTTTTTTTAGGTAAACAACTTTCTGTTCACTAAGGATAACAACTCCGAAGAATGAAGTGTCTTGATAGTGTTTATTGAGTGTTTTAGTCATAGTATATTTTTCAGCTTAACCTGCTTGGCCAACCTCCTGGCCTTAAGTTGAGGAACCTGGGGCCCCTCTGTGGAGCGAGGAGTGACTAAGGGCCAGCTGCAGAGGTGGAAATGGGCTGGACAAGGGATGCAAAATACAAATGTGTGAGAGAGAAGGGGATTACTTATTCTAGTATTTATGATTTTTAACGTGAATTGAACTTGGCTGTTGTCATCCCTCCCAAACTTTCACTTTTAGCTCCATATAAAGTTCTTTCGGGTTGGGTGGCCCTGCTTAAGGAAGTAATATCTCCACCTTCAGCTCTCTGATACAGAATGTAGTGCAGAGATGTTGGGCACGAGCAACAGGAGTGCTCCTTTATTTAGTCAATAAGAAGCCGCCGGATCAGAAGTTAGTTAAATTAAGTTAAAAATGTAAATACTTCATTTATAACGAGGCGAAGAAGGAAGCAGAACACAGAGAATTAGCAAGAAACTTGCATCTGATGTTTGACTATCCAAGTTGTTCCAGATGTGATGGGACTAAGATCCAGAGATACACCAAACTAGTGCAAAATGCTGATGCCAGATTGGAAGAGGAAGTCTTGAGTGACCCCTACCATATCCAGACAAGCATGGTCATTTCAGAAGCTTAAGTGATGATGGATAAACTGGTATTAATCTGTAAATTTAAAAAATTTGGTCAACACAATGCAATAAATGCCCTTTGACAACGTAAAGGACACTCCTAAAAGTGACTTTAAAGGCCACTGTAATGGTATTACATTTCTTCTACCAAAATAATGGCAGTCTCTTCAACTGAGTGGGAAAGCAGTATCAATTTAAGCTAGGGGTAGACTAAAAACTCAGTTGTTTTTTAGTTATTTCTCAAATATTCTGTGTAAAAGTCCTGCTTTGTAATTCGTAACCAGGTTTGATCTTTAATCCAGAAAAACAAAAGTTTTCCAAAGTAGTGAAGTCGAGCCTGTCATTAGCTCCAACAAAAACCTTCTCCCCCAGCCACCCTCTAACTCTGACTCATACAAATAAAAATTTGATTTCCTTACATTTTGTAAAGATAATCCTTACATTTCAAAACAACTAGTGTCCACATGTGTACTACAGCACATGCACCTTGTGGTTTAACACTGTATTCTTGCAAAGTCATACCTGTATGCAGTTTGCAGTCAGGCAGCTAGTATGATGATACTACAGTATGTGAAAACAGGGTTCAGGGTACAAGATCCTGCTCCTTGAAACCTAAACAGTGTTGAATTCTCCTGTTGCAAAGTATCCAGCGTTTTGGTGCAGCAGGGTGCCCTTGAGTCAAAAACTGTAGCTCTTGCTGAGTAAATGTGATCCTCCATGTGGTTCCTCCTTAATTATGAGGATCACTAATTACCTGCTAACTCGTTTAAAAAAAACTGCACACAAACACAGAAATTCAAATGGTAGCATTGTCGAGGGAAGATTTTCCAGTCTAACATTTTTCTATCCGGTACGGAAAA